AATTTCGTTTGCAAGCTACGCAGGCTGAATGAATTGCGTTGGAGGCGGCGTGAGTATCTGCTTCTACTTTGCGCAATGTTCGCTCCAAAAACCCCACCTGATACGCGTGCCAGCAAGACTACGCTCACTCTCTATAACCGACTCCCAGATGGCAATCTCGACAAAGTTATAACAACTTCTGGATGGCAGCATGTGTCCGTAATAACGCAATCGTTTTGTAGCGGACGGGACATGTATAGTCGCGAGGTGTTAAATTTCGAGGCTAGTGCGAGGCTGGATCCTATTGCATCGTAAAAACGCAAACTTCATGAACCAATTCACCAAGTCGTCGGCGATCGGTGTATAGCAGACAGAAGTCGGCACACTCTGTGGGCAATTTGCGAGCAATTAGGGTTGAGAGATTGAACTGGCCCTTCAATGGAAGCCACCCCAAACGTCTTCCAGACCGGAGCCTGATTCCTCTTGTTGGGCGCCTTAAACAAACCATCCCCTCGTCATCCACTTGTTTCTGTCCCTCCGCTTGCTTCCCGCCACATTCCCCCAAACGTTCCCCCGTCCAACGGCAAAGACGACGGCTCGGCCTCGCTGGGCGTTGTGGTAATATGTGTTGCCGCTGTGATCCTTCCGGCGGATGAGAGAGCTCGCTGCGGGATGTGCACGGGCGGCTGGATGAGTATGATATTCGGTCCCCTCTAAATGCTGGCGGCTGCAACAAGCCTTACGCGCCCTTCTTGTGCCCATTCTTGGATTGACAGAAACTGCGCGCGTGGTGCAAGCCAGGCCCCTCCCACGATGGCGAGAGTGGGAACGGAGAAGGGGTAAACGGGAACAGACGGAAGGCAAACGGTGAAAGCAGCGGAACAGAAGACAAGGGGGCCTGCCAGTGCCTCTCCACGGAACTCACGGGAGGAACCCTTCCCTCGGCCAACGAGGTTGTGATCACCATGCAGGGGACGTGCGATGAGGTCACCACCGATCCTCCACCACTGGCCCCATGATACGAGGGGGGTTCAGGGGTCTGCGCGGACCACCCGATCTGATCCCATCATCAGAGGCCTGGCACATGAAGTCCGAGTGAATAGGGCCGGAGGCTCGCACCGCATCAGCACGCATCGGCGATGCACTGGCGACATCGGCGTGGAGGACTTCGTGACCCACAACAAGCTGCATCGCTGGTGCATCGGCATGCGGCGTGATCCTCGATCATGGACAGGGCCCCCTTTAGTAAAACGTGGTTTAGTGAAAACGACCTCGGGCCCACGCCTGGCGGGCGCAAGCCTGGAAAGTGACGGCCGCGACGCCCTCTCGAGAACCGAAAACGGACAATTCACTAATCGACGTGTCAGGGTGGAGGTTCTGTCCTCCCCCGAGATCCTTCGACCCCATCTACTCGGACCCCATCTGTGAGGCCCAGGTCCTATCAAAGGGCGTCGGCTGGGCACCGTTCCGGGACGAGCCTCGGCGTGCGTGCGCGCGTCCTGGACCTCGCCACAATTGCGGGCTGCGGATGGCCGAACCAAGGACGATCCGATCGCGAGATCGGTCCTCTTCGCGCCAACCAGGGTTCGATGGTGAGAAAAGGGGGATGTTTTTACAACTATGACCTATGTTTCCGGGACGGAGGGGGGAGGAGAAGAGATCGGGCACCCCAGCGACAGCAGACTCCGAGAGCGAGCGCATCAGAAGTCGTGTGAGACAGGCGGACTGGTAGGGTCGGAGATGCGGGCAGTTGTAGCATAGAGAGAAAACACGGCTCACAACCTCGGGGGCGCGTGCGATACTTGCGAGGAGGAGGAGGAGGAGGAGGAGGAGGAGGAGGATGGAGGAGGAGGAGGAGGGGAAAGAGGAGGACGCTCCAATCGAGGATAGGCCGGTACGTCCGGAACAAGTTGCCTGCTGCCTGTCGCAAGCGTCGGCCAGAACGGGCCTACTGATACGAATTCCCACTTAAAGCGTATCTAACACGTCGGGCCAGTGCTGCCTTCAAAACGCGATGGCCCCAGTGGTCCATCCAAGAGACGAGCATACCACGAAACAAAGACTGGTCTTGCCCAAGCGCTATCGTGGTGTCAGAGAGTGGGGAAGCAGCAACGGCGGGGGTGGCAGGGAGAGGGGAGGCGGAAGTGACGAGACGAACAAACTGCTCAGGCCGCCCACCGAGCTCCACGCACTTGTCCAGCTGTGGACTTGCACCGTGCAGGGAGGAGCGAGGACGAGACAGGCAGAGCAAGCGGAGAGCAAGCCCAGCCGAGAAGGGCCAGCTGGCGCTCCGCCTCCGGGAGGCGAGAGGTGGAGGAACGAGGCGAGGGGGCGGGGGACTCCAATCGGCTGCTGTGCGCAGCGTGCCGTGCAATCAATCGGCCACGCGGCCGGGATACCAGGGACAGGAAAGCGTGCACCGCACAGCGTCGAACTGCGCCGCTTCATACACTTGCGCGCCGATCAGCGGCACTGCGCTAGGCATGCGGGGACACGGCACAGTTCAGGGCGCGCAACTTGCCGGCTAAGCACGATCATTGCCAAAGAAGAGGGGAACCGCGGAGGAATCGAGTCTGCCGTGTCGGGCGCCGCCGCCCCTCATGGGCTTCACTAGCACTCGGGAATCTTGAGAAGAAGCCCCGCGAAACCTTTTTGTTTTCAGGTTGCGGCGCGGCCGCGCTGCAGCCATTCGCGGTGGCAGCTTCGACTTCTCGGGTCGCTCCACGGTCAGCATCCGGCGGAAAGCAAAGGGGCAACAGCCAGAGAGGCGGGGGGTGATGGGGGATGAGGAGGAGGAGGAGGAGGAGGAGGAGGAGGAGGAGGAGGAGGAGGCAAGAGGAGGAGGCAAGAGGAGGAGGAGACGGAGACGGAGAGGACGGGGCGCCTTATCAGCGGTGCGGCAGCCGCCCGGTGTGGCGGCGCGCGCGCGGGTACGCGGCGCCCGCCAGCTAACACCTGCTCGAGCGCGCTCGCCAGAGTGTGCCCGAGGACACAGCTCCAGGCTCGCCTGGTGGAGCGCGCCGGCCGTCGAAGGGCTGGCCTGCTCAGAATGGCGCGCCTCGCAACGCACCCGCTACACTGCGGCGATCCGCACCGCGCACCGCGGAGAGCAGGGCGGTGTCCACGGGCGGGTTCGCCACTGGCCAGTCAAGCAGCAGGAACAGCTAAGAGGCTGTCCTCAGGTCGGGTATGTCTGCCTACAGGCAGGTTTTGGATGACAAATCAAAAATGCTCAGACAATGTTCCAAATAGCAAAAAATAGGCGAAACATCGTCCCCAAACTATTTTTGTTGAGTGCTATGTTTGAGTATTCCTCCTGTAGAGGGACATGCCCGACTTAAGGCTGTCCGCCGTAGACGGGATCGCCAGCCAGCGCCGCGCGTGATAAAACAAGCGGCCCAGGGCCCGACTTCGCCGGAGACAGGTGGCCATTCTCGGCGCCTTGGACACCCTCCAGAGTCAAGCGAGCGACGGGTGGGAGGAGAGGGGAGACTGTGAGAGGGCAGGAAACAGGAGGGGAGAGAGGGCGAAGGGGGGTGAGAGTTAAGTCGGGCGTGTCCCCCTGCAGGGTGCCCAAAGCATTGATATTCCTATGGTTTTTTGCAAGTTTTTGGAGCTCTTGCTTTTTCTGGCCAAGAACGGCCGAAAACGGCCCAAGAGGCTCCAAAGATCGTCCCAAGACGGCCCCAGATGCCCCGACAGGGGCCCGAAAACATTCCAAGAGGGCCCCGAGACACCTTGGAGGAGCCCCAAACGGTCCAAAGGGCTCCAAGACAGCCCAAGAGGGCTCCAAGACGGCCCCAGGAGAGCCCCAAGAGGACCCAGAGGCTATCAAGAGGGTCCAAGAGGCCCCCGAGAGAGCCCCAAGACGGCCAATGGCCTCCAAGACGCCCCTAGACGGCCCAAAAGGGCCCCAATACAGCCCAAACGTGCCCCAAAAGGCCTCCCCACGGGCTCCAAAAGGGCCCCCACGAAGACCCCGACGAGGAGGCCTAAGAGACAATCAAGAACACAATGGCTCCCATCAGCGAGCGGTGACGAAACAAGCTCTTGACACCAAGGCTCCACAGAGCGCAGTGACGCAAAGAGCTCGTCACACCAATGCTCCCAAGAGCGAACGGCAACGGAACAGTCTCAAAACACCAGTGCTCCCAACGGAGAGCGGCGACGTAACAGGATCTTCACACCAAGGCTCCTAAGCAGGTGACGTAACAAGCTCGTCACGCCAAGGCTCTCAAGAGCGAGCGGCACCGTAAACATCTCTGAACACCAGGGCTCCCAACAGAGACTGGTGACGTGACAAGCTCTTCACACCAAGGCTCCCGAGAGCGAACGGTGACGTGACAAACTCGTGCACACCAAGGCTCCCAAGAGCGAACGGTGACGCAACCAACTCCCAACACCAAGGTTCCCAAGAGCGAGCGGCAACGTAAAAGTCTCTGAACATCAAGGCTCCCAAGAGCGAGCGGTGACGTAACAAGCTCTTACCACCAAAGCTCCCAAGAGCGAAGGGTGCCGTGAGCCCTCTCGGGCAAGTTCCTGGTCCGCTCTTTCCGTTTCCGTGCCGGCCCAGGTGAAGCGGCTCCGGGGCGGCTCCCATGGCCTGTTTCTTTGTATTTTTCCAGGCGAACCAGCCAGAGGGCCCCAAGACGGCCCAAGAGGGCCCCAAAACGGCCCCAGAGGCCCCAAGACAGCCCCAAGAGAGCTTCAGATGGCCTCCAAACGGTCCGAGAAAGCCTCGAGACGGCTCCAGAGGCCCTCAAGAGGGCACCCGAGAGGGCCTCAGGAGGCCCAAAGCCCCGATTCCCTTGTTTTTTTTGCAAGTTGTTCGGGTTCTCCCCATTTCGGATCCAGAAGGGCCCCAGACGGCCCAAAAGGCTCCAAAGATCGTCCCAAAACGGCCCCAGAGGCGCCCCAAAGGGGCTCAAACCCAGACGGGCCCAAGACGGCCCAAAGGCCCCAAAGATCGTCCCAAGACGACCCCAGAGGCTGCCCAAAGGGGCTGACAATTATTCGTCGCAGCCTCTGACTGCGTGCGCCCCCGCGCGAACGCTGGGCAGACACGACCCGCGCGACTGACTGGCTCTACTCTGGGATGCCCCAGTGAAGCCCAGCCAGCGGGGCGCAACAACCCCAGGGAGGGCAGGGCGGGAGAAACAAGTGCGCACAGGAAGCGGCGCCCTTGGCACCAGCTGCGCGCACCGCCACTCCATTAGAGCTAGAGCTCTGTCGCCCGCCAGCGTGACAAGGGCGGACCGACGGAAGACAGACGACCACCGACAGACGACCGACAACCGACAGGAGGGAGGACGAGGAGGGGGTACAGTCCACCGCTCCTCCGAGGGAGCCCACCAGCCGTGAACGCCCTGTGAGCGGGTAGGGGCCAAGAGGGCACGAGGCCAGGAGGGGCGCCTGGGCACTCCTCTAAATTTTCACACCTCACAAAGCTGCGCCTTGGAGGTGGCGAAAATTATTCGTCGCAGCCTCTGACTGCGTGCGCCCCCGCGCGAACGCTGGGCAGACGCGACCCGCGCGACTGACTGGTGCCATTCTGGGATGCCCCAGTGAAGCCCAATGAACCCAGATGGGACCGGCAGACTGCGCGAAGCGAAATGCTACTGTGGCGGACGTCACTCCGCCCATTGCACGCAGGATCTTTTCACTCGCCAGCGGACGAGTCGGAGTGGTCGATAAGGAATTCTGCAGCCTCTACTGTGCTCCGGGCCGTCGCAGACGCGTAGGCAAAGGCCGTGACGCCCCGCCAGCCACCAGAGCAAAACAAAGCCGATGTACCATTGGCACGCAAGCATTCCGTGGCCCAGCCTCGCCGGAAAGCATGGGTACCCCATGCGTCCGGGCTCTGCAGCCCGATGGCCTGGGCAGCCGTTTTCAACACAGCAAAGGGTTCACTGTGCTGAAGACCCGGGACGATCACGCCCGGAAGGGCCCCCGCGCAACGACAAGAAATTGCGCAAAACCCGCGCAAGGATTTGCCCTGGAGACGACAAATGCACCGCCTCGAAACCACAACGGGCTCAGCGAAGCACTTACGCTGCATGAAAGTGACTTCGATTTCGTCTGGGAGCCCGCGCTCGCGGATGAGCCGAACAGGAGCGCCCTGCGAACCCAGCTTCAACGCCTCGCCATAGCGCAGACAAAACTGGCGGGAGACGATCCAAGAGTCACCGATGTCAGCGAAACCAGACCTAGAGCACCACCTTGCTAAAGCCCGGGTCTCCTCTGCGGTCGCGCGGATACGCTCTCGCCGCTTGGACACTCCCGCTTTCTCGGCTCCACGGACCAATCGTTGGGTGTCTTGCAGTGCGCCCAAATCACTCTGCAACCACCGAAGCACGCATCTGACATGAGAGAGGTACTGCGCCATCGTCGCCGCGCTCCGAAACAGCGACACAAACATGTCCAGAACCTGCTGAGATGGGGGGCACGCGTCCCCGCCGCAGAAGGCAACGGTCTTGCCGTACGGGCGCACGGATGATGCATACTGTTTGGCGCTAGCCTTCCACCCGCAGAACTCCACCCATGTTGCCCAGTCAGATGCGTCAGCGGCCGTGGCCCCGCGAGCCTGCAGCCCCTTCAACTCCGCCAGAGGCGCCTGCGCTGGAGCACGGGGTACAGGGCAGTCTGCGCGAGCCAGCTCGGCATTCGCATCTGCCAGAATGTCCGGCGGCGGCGGTCTCCCAGAAGAGCGCGCCGCCGAACACATCCGCAACGCAGCCGCTGCTGCCACCGTGCCGCGCCGCGGGCTGCGCCTCTGCACCGGGGGATCGCTGCCCTGCGATCGACCCATGTCCTGGCTGCGCAACGCGACAATGGCCGCGCCGGCGCCGCCGGCTCCTGGGAGGCAGAATAACGAAATCAAACAACCACCCGGGGGGGGGAGCCCGAGGCCCCAGGAGACCGCCCGAAACACACAGCACGCCCCGGGGGAGGAAAAAAAAAAAACCGGGCCCCTGCAACGAAATCGTCTTTCTGCCCCCACTCTTCGGGCGTGCACTGGACAAGCGCTGACCGCACACAGCCCCAGAAATGCAGACAGCGTCGCCCGGCTCAACTCCGTGAGCGGCGCCCAAATGAGCTCGGCTTCCTCGATTGATATGCCGAGGAAATCGTCGGCGCCCGCCGCGCCCGCCAGGCGGAGGCGATCGCAGACAGCCTGCGCATCATCTCCGGCTCCCGCAATCGCCGCGGCTCGCTGGAGTAGGGAGCACAACTCTGCCCGCGGTGCTGCCAGCTGCGCGCCGGCTGGCACATCGGCTCTTGGGCGAACGCGCCCCTCTGGCTCGGGCCCGCCAGCCGCCTGAGCAGAGCCTTCCGCCGAGGAGCCGGACATTGAGCCCAAAACCTACGGCTGACGGAAGACGAGCTGTGCATTCTCCTCTGTGCGGCAAACGCCCCTTCTGGGGGGAGAATTCGTTACTTTTCCTCCCCCTTCGCCTGGGGGGAAAATGCGTAACTTTCCCCCCGGAGACGGTGATCCATTGGCCTCCCTCCGGTGTGGAACCGAAAGGGGCACAACTTTGTACCGACGCCCTGGGGCCCAGACAGGGCACGAGCGCAGCAGTGCACAGGCAGGCACAATTTCTACTCCGACGTGGGGCGGAAAGCAGACAGTATTTCCCGCGGGCTGGTTGGCCTGCCTCGGATCGTCCAAGACGGCCCCAGAGGCCGCCCAAAGGGGCTGAAAACAGCCCGAGAGGGCTCCCAGACGGCCCAAGAGGGCCCCAAGACGGCCCAAGAGGGCCCCCAGACAGCCCCAAAGGGCCCGAAAGGGCGGTATGGTGTCTGGGCTGCTTGGGCGTAGGGACTGGGCTGGCCCAAAGACGGCCCAAGAGTCCCGAAACGGTCCAAAAGGGCCTCCACCATATTCCCAAGAAGCCCCAGAGGCGCCAAGGAACACCGTGGTTCCCCACAGCGAGCGGTGACGCAACAAGCTCTGAACACGAAGGCTCCCCAGAGCGCGGTGACGTAAACAACTCTGAACACCAAGGCTCCCAGGAGCGAGCGGCAACGTAGAAGTCTCTGAACACCGGGGCTCCCAACATAGAGTGGTGACGTAATAAGCTCTTACCACCAAGGCTCCCAAGAGCGATGGGTGCCGTGAGCCCTCTCGGGCAAATTCCTGGTCCGCTCTTTTCCCGTGCCGGCCCAAGTTTCCAGAGGGTCTAGCGGTCCTCGTTCTAGCCGCCCGTGTGGAGCACTAGGAGATATGGGAAAACCCCCAATTCGGGGGAATTCTGGAGCGTATTATTCTCATGGCCCCTCGCTCCTCTGATTATAGAGAGATGAAGAAACGCCCCAACCTTGGGTTACACGTGCGTAGTCTGTAAACCTCCTGGGGGCTCCCACGGGCGAGGAGAGAGCCGCCAGGACTCGGGGGCGCACAAACATGGATTAGCGATCCATAGATTTGGCGCGCGGTCGCCAAAACCATGGATCGGGGGAGGTGCCCTCCCCAAAATGCGGCCAATGCCGCCTCGCTCGGCGGCGGAAATCCGCGTTTTCCCATGGAAGCGGGGCCCGTCGCCAATCCACGCCTCCTCAATCCATTTGTGCGATCGCCTGACAGGACGCCGCGCGACATGCGCGACACGCCGGGTTTACCCTGTCAGCGCACAGGAGGCTCAGCGCACCGCGCCTCGTAAACCAGGGCGGGGGGCGCACTTACGCCCCCGAGGTTCGGAGGGGAAGACGCCCTCAAGGGAGGTAACCGACCGCCCCTCGCGATATGCTGAGGTCGGGCATGTCCTCCTACAGGTTGGTTGCGGACAGAAGTTAAATCATCGAAAACAAATTCAAAAGCACAAAGAAATACTCGAAGAATCGTCAACATACTGTTTTTTCACTGTTCTCGATCGTTCCTCCTGTAGAGGGACATGCCCGACTTAACGATCTGCGCCCCACGCGCCCCCGCCGTGCGCCATCGGTCCTTGTGCTCCGTCCACCCCGCCGGCAGAACCGGTGGTGCCGGGGGCCTGGCGCCCCGTCTGCTCTGACACCGGGCGGTGTGCTCTCCACCCGTCCCGTCCCGCGGCCGGTCTCCTCCTCCTCCTCCTCCTCCTCCTCCTCCCCGTCCTCCCTCCTCCCTCCTCCTCCTCCTCCTCCTCCTCCTCCTCCTCCTCCTCCCTCCTCCTCTTCTTCCTCCTCCTCCTCCTCC